TTTGACCCGTGATCAGTCAAATCTGACTTCTGCAGCTCGTGTTGGGTGCAGGGTTGTTGTTGTTTTTTTTTCCACGAAATTAGGCTGCTTTTAAACTTGCCATGGGTTGATTTTCCCAAGTGGGTTAAAGGTTTGAAATATTGCATAAACTACATTTGGTTGAGGGCTGTTTTTTTTTTACTAGCATGGGCTTTGGATGCAGAATTAAAATGATGTAATAGTTGTGATCATTATTTTACCTTCCATGATCATTCAGACACGATCAGATGCAGTACTGACACACTGTCAAGTCTGCATCAAATCAAGCACTCTGTAATCGCAGGTAAACTGTCTGATCAGTCAGATGTTTGTCATGAGAAGTGTTCCACAAAATAACTATGGTTAGCAGACAGTTATAAGAGTTGATGTTACAAATACATCTTTTGAATATACTGCGTGAACTCATTGCCCCGTTAGCTCGGAGAGCTTTATTTTCCTTCCTCAACAAGTTTTGTCGGTTGTTTTGTTTATTGGTCTAATTCTTGTTTCTTGGGTTGCATTGGTTAGTCACTTAATTAATTATCTTGTGCTTCATTCCCCCCTTCTGAATTATGTTGCATTGATAATGAGTTATCACAAAGTAAGACTGTTTAGTTGTGCTATCTTACAAACAGTATATAGTAAATGTAAGTTAAAGTGTCGCAGATGTAACCGGTTAAAAGTTAACTTGGAGTGGCGATGAGGTCTTAAAATGTATGGAAAGAGTCTTAAAAAAGGTCTTAAAAGGTATTAAATTTAACTCCATGATTCCTGTATATACCCTGATCGACATTTTTATATTTTGGTATTATATTTTTATGTCAAGAATTTGCCCACCCTTCACAAACATGTGCGGGACCATTTTATTGGTCAGAGACACATTGTGGAGACACATTAAGCTTTGACTCTGAGGGTTTGAGAGCAGATCAAATGAAAAACCCAGGTGCAATGATCTTTATTAAGTGTTTTTGTAATTATGTTGCTAGTTTTTAACATGCTAAGTTGATCGTCCAAATCAGTGGTTCTCAAGCAGGGCCTCAGCAGAATTCCAAGGGGGCCCCAATACGTCTTGAAATGATTTATATTTAGTTATAATAACAATCAATTTAACTGATTGAACATTTTCATATTTTCATTTTATTTGTAATCAGGGGGGCTTGGCGTAAAAAAGGTTGAGAACTTCCGATCTAAATGAAAGTAGTATCATAATGGCATTCATTCACAGCACACATATATAAAATAAAAATAGTATAAGTTTGAAAAGTTAACTTGCTGGACTGAATTTATAGGATTACTTAAAGCATTTGAAAAACTGATAGAAAGTTGAACATGCATAATAGTGTTGTCACGGTACCAAAATTTCAGTATTCGGTAAAGCAGCCCAATTCCGCGGGAAAACCGCGGACTTGGCAACACTGGAAGAGGATAGCTTTTAGATAGCGCATCAAGAACCGGGTTGACTCGGTACCACCGGTACTTAAGAAAACCTGGTACTGTAACGTTTTCATTTTTTTTGTACCGACTTGGTACCGAAATACCGGGTCTTTTGACAACACTAATGCATAACATTCTTGTTCAATTCTAACATTTCTATATGTAACTCTACAATTTATTTCTTTGGATGAATAAGCAATCACACTACTACAGTAGTTGACAAAATCTCAGGAACTGCTGTCCTGAACAGTTCAGTTTTGTACCCCAATATTTTCCCAACATTAAAGGGGTCATGAACTGAGAAATCTAAATTCCCTTGATCTTTTGACGTATAAAAGGTCATTGTACTTAAAAAAAAAAAATCCTGTAAGTTTCAGAACTCAAACGTTCTCGTTATCTAAAAACAGCTTATTGAAGTCAATCTGCCAAAACGACAGGTTGTGGAATGTGCCACTATGATGTAACTGTGTGACTAAACCCCGCCTCCGCAGAAGATCTTCAACGCCTGCTTCTACATCACTGCCTGTTTAGCTCCGCCCACCGATCACACATGTAGTGTAAATAATGAGAGAGGCAAACACAGGTCTGTGCAGAAATCAAATGATAAAGATGGCTCCGAAGACAACAAGACGCTGTGCAGATCCAGACCGACCAGAATAGACCAGAACTTTATTTGCGGATTCGTTCATAATCAAAGCACAATTCGATCCAGGAATTTCAGAAAGATTAAAACTAAAAGACGATGCTGTGGTGACCGTATTGGAACTGACAGTAATGTTGCACCACACAAGTGTGAGTAACTGTTTTTATTACGTGGTCACTATTGCTTTGTCTGTTCTTCCAGATCGTTTGATATGTACTGAGTATTTATGCGTTTTTAACCTAAATCACAGCAGCTATCTATGAAAGATGTAGGCTGTCAAACATACACAACTGTTAGCCAATCATAGCAGTGGGCGCTTACTTCAGAGTCTACAATCCACCACGCCTATTCAAACAGAGTGTTCTGATGAGGGTGGTTACAACAGGACCGAAAATAGCCTATTACTTCTAAATTGTTTTTTTTATGTAAAAATCTTGATAACATTATATTTATAAGTGGACCACAGAGAACAGTACAAAATAATAAAAAGTGCAGTTCATGACCCCTTTAATCCTTGCTTTATAGATAAAATACAATAATTCTTATATTAAAATGCAGAATTGTATCTCTAATTGTTGTAAATATTTATATTGCTCCATATTTTGAATAAATTTGTTGCCTTTTCTATTAATGGACGTAACATCTGAATCATAATTTCTGTCCAGCTGCAGAAGGCAACCGCCGGTCACGCACCCGGCCCGGCAGTGAGAGTCGATGAACCCAATAAGGGAAACCTGGGCTTTATTCATGCCTTTGTGGCAGCCCTCTCAGTCATCATTGTCTCTGAACTGGGAGACAAGACATTCTTCATCGCAGCCATCATGGCTATGCGCTACAATCGCCTCACTGTTTTGGTGGGCGCCATGTTGGCTCTGGGACTCATGACGTGTCTGTCAGGTAGGTTGTTCAAAAGCACCTTTACTTTTTAAATCATGTTCAGAGGTTCATATGCTTCACCTCACATCTCATCTTCTACTTTTCACCAGTGCCTAAGACTTTTGGTGTCGCATGACTTTTAGTCTCAAATCCCATGTATTACATATGTTGATTAAACTATTATCTGACATAAAATTAATAAGCATTAAAAGTAGCTAGATTTAAACAAAAATGTTTTTTGTTTTTTTTTTATCTCTGGGTTCCTATTCCTATTCTCGTCTACCTTAGAAATACATACAATGCCAATGAAAGTCTTGTGAGATGTTTACAGGATATCATTCATCGTGCAAATATTATAGTATATTTGCATCCGTCCAAAACAATGTCATCATGGTCACAATATCATGGTCTAAAAGACTTCTAATGACAGGCCTTTTTGTCTCTTTACCACTGTCTTATATAAGTATAAGGGTTAAATTTTAGTTTATAATTCAGTGCTTAGGCCACCGAGTGTTTATCTACCATGTGTTACTTATAAAATCCTTTGAATGCACGAATGACCTATTTTTCTGTCTGTCTTCTCATTAGTCCTGTTTGGTTATGCCACCACCATTATCCCACGGATTTACACCTACTACATATCAACAGCGCTGTTTGCCATATTTGGTGTGAGGATGCTGAGGGAGGGACTGAGGATGAGTCCTGATGAAGGGCAAGAGGAGCTGGAGGAGGTCCAGGCTGAGATAAAGAAAAAGGATGAGGAGGTAAAATCTTTCTAACTCTAGTGTGTTTGTTCGCAGGTGTGGCTAAATAACATCCACTGCATAATTGAAGCATCTTATCTGACCTTTGATTGGTTGATTTCCTCTCCTCTCGCAGCTTCAGCGCTATAAGCTAGCCAGCGGCGCACCCGACATGGAAGCAGGGACGGCGGCGACCATATTACCTCAGAGGAAGTGGCACAGCGTGATCTCACCTATATTCATTCAGGCACTCACCCTCACCTTCCTCGCTGAGTGGGGTGACCGCTCTCAGCTTGCCACTATTGTGCTGGCTGCAAGAGAGGTATGTACACAGGATTCAAAATTAGACCTTTTATTTGATTAAAAAGAAAATTATTTCACTAAAAATACTTTATAACTTTTCACCATTTGAAATATTCTCAATGCCCATAAAACTGTATTTTGCATTATATAAAAAAAATTGCTAACCTGGATGAGATATGTTTTAATTTATCATTTTAAATCAATTTTATTCTTACTTTAGACTTTTATTCTGCAATATATTTCATAAATAATTAACTTTTACTAAAAGTACTTCGTAATTTTTTACCCATGAAACTGTATTTATCATTTAAAAAAAAAAAAAATGGTTAAGATATATTTTTATTTATAATTAATTTTAAATACATTTTCTACTAAAATTGTCATATTTGACCATTTTAAATATTTGTAATGCCCATTTAAAAAATTTTATATATTTTTATTTATAATTAATTTTAAACAAACCTTCTACTAAAATACTTGTAAAATACATGTTTTACCATTTTAAGTATTCTTAATGCCCAAGATAAAAATATATATTGTATTATATAAAAAAAACTGTTAACCTGGATAAGATGTATATTTTTATTTATAAAAATTAATTTATATAATAAAATATTAATTATATTAAAGTAATTAACTTAAAATAATCCAGCACTCTATATTGCTCACTATTAGCAGCTAGCAAATGACTTGAGTGTTGTTAACTGTAAATAACTGGCCGGGTTTGTGCTGCAGGATCCATTTGGAGTAGCAGTTGGAGGAACATTGGGACACTGTCTGTGCACAGGCCTGGCTGTTATCGGTGGAAGGATGGTGGCTCAGAAGATCTCCGTTAGAACCGGTGAGTCATTTAGTGCAGTACATTATGTTCTGTTGGTTTGCATAAGCACTGACCTATATCCAGATTTATTTGATGATATTTCCTGTTGCTTTCTCTACAGTTACAATCATTGGTGGAATAGTTTTCCTTGCCTTTGCGTTCTCCGTCCTCTTTATCAAGCCCGATTCTGGATTCTGATGGAAGAATTGACTCTTGGTTTCATTTTGTATATATGCAACCCAGACCAAGTGGAACAGAGAGAGACTGCACAAAGACTGCAGATGGCTTGTTTATATGTTTGAGTGAATCTCTTTTGTGCAAGTAAAGTATGACTGAATGAATGAAAGAAAAAACATTTACTGCTCATGTCTTAATGAGCATTTCAGTTTTTTTTGTGTTTTTTTTTTGCTTAATCCCTCCCTGTTTTTGTCTTTCTTTACTTTCAACCAGACACTGTTCTATTTTTTGATGATCATTATATTTCCCCTGACTGTATGCTGCCTAACAATTTACTTGAACTTGCCAGATGTTTGTCCTGGCATATAGTAACATTTTAAATAACAAATCTTGAATCTTGTTTACTTTTTGTTTTACCCGTTTGAGCAGTGGGCTATGGGTAAATACTGGCCTGGTTCCATAGGCGGACTAAATTGGACAAAAATGCCCCTGCACAAACAAATTAAGTCTATTACGTCTGTTGCTAACAAAATGAATAGGAATAGACAGTGTCGATTGTGGCATTAAATTAAGATCTGCTCATGTTGCACCGTATTTCATTTTAGGTGTTTTAGGCGTTTTTAGGCACATTTTAACCAATCACACACATATCTGTTGAGCTTAGGAATGCAATGGCCAATCAGAAACGTTCAGATGAGTCGTCGTTCAAACATCGGTAGCAACGCTGGGTGTAACTAAAAAGGTGCCATTGTCTGGTGAGGTCCGGTTGGGGAGTTACGGAACAATCTCATATCGCATAATCTTATTAACTGTTTATCTCCTGAACTGCAACTGTCTTTACCACGCTGTTAAGCGCCAATCCCACCATGCAGTCAATTTCACTGGTTAAGGTTAGGGTCAGGTGTGGGGTAGGTTTAGATGATAGCATAGTGTAGGAAATCAACACTTTAATTGACACAACCAATAAAATCTTTAGAATCAGCTGTGGGGCAGAGTTTGCACTGAAGTGGATTGGGGGAAAAAATTGCTCATGTGTGTCATGTGCCTGTCTGTCAGTGGGAGGAAGCCACGCCCTATTTTGGAGCTCCCACCCTGTTTTGGAGATCCCGCCCCCATTTGGAGATCTCCAGGCTGCAGCTATACCCTTCTCGACTCTTGTGAATTCTCTCATCATAAATAACAAAGCGCAGATTCTTGCCTAAAAAGACGGGTTTATGATGTTTAATACATTTGGCTGCTTTTAGCCTTACCCTGGAGTTGGTTCACCCTCCGCCTATGTTCTACTTTATTCAAGTTCAAGCTTGCTTGACTATAACAGCTCTAAAACTAAAACCAGATGAAGCACTGTCACTCTTCCCTATGACCGTCTACCCACTGCACAGCAGTACATCTACTCGCATCTCAGGAGTATTTAGTGGGTAAGAGCCTTAGCAATATAACGGTCACAATTCCCTCATCAATAGCAAACTATAGTACTGAACTGAATGCTGAATTATAGGAACTGCCTAGTGTCTAAACTGCCTGTTCATGGTTTGTCCTTTATTCATACCATATTACCAAAGGCTTGAGATGTAGTATGAAATAATGTCAGATCTGATTGCATCATCACATGTGGCCTTTAAACCCAGTCACGGTATTTATTGGTCATCATTGTGCACTCATAAATGCATTTGTGCTTCTGTCACTGGTCATAAACTGTTAAGGACAGTCATGCTTTCACAAGCTCCCCTGAAAGAAGCACACGGCATACATTTGCTCTCTCATTGTCTAGGAAGACTAATTTCTTAAGTCTGCCCTTTTCCTCTGAATGGTTTTTATTTATTCTACTATGGAGCAGAGATATTGATATTTTGTCATGGTTGAAGAATTTGTTCTATTGAGTGCGTTTTTTTCAGGGTGACAACATTTTCAGGGTGACTGTCAATATTTGACAGGGGTTAACTTTGGAGATTGTGCTGACTAAACTAATATAGAAGAACTGCAAAAATATTATTCCTGTAAATATTGAATAAAAAGGTCAGTCTCAGTCAGATGTTATTTTTTCACAATGCTGAAACTAACCACTTTCTTTTAGCCATTTTTTTTTTGTTGCCAATTATGTTTAACCAACTAGCGTGTCAAGTTTTGTCTTCATTTTGAATAAAATTCCTAAAGCTTCATATTTTGAAACCTAAGAAACATGTTAAATATTTTGATGAAAATGTGTGCTTGTGCTATATTTAAATAAATACCACTTGTCATAGATGCATGTATACATTTTTAATGAGGCCAAGACATTCTACTTTTTGGGGCCACTGTAAATCTATATTATAGTTAATTCAGGGATTTTTCTCTGGTTCATACATTAATTTTACGTTGCTTTTATACAACAGTTCAATAAACAAGAAGTTAAGGTGCGTTTACGCCATATCATAATTACCGCGATTACGAGATTCCAATTTGTAAAAAGCATTCACGTCCCCGTAGAACTCGTAATTACAACTTGTGAACTGGGAATTTTCTCATCTCATTCTAGTTATTGCTTTCTGAAAGTTTAAATATTAACTGTCGAAGACAGAAGTTTCGCCAAACATTGTTGTGTCCCATTGTGCTAAAGGGGCTATTACCACTGATCTATAATAGATATTATAGAGATCAGTGGCTATTACCCACCTTATTCCAGTAGAATATCTACTCCTTTTCAGCACAACGCTCTTAACACAAGCAAAGGATTGAAGAGCAAACACTAGAACACGGACTTAAGTGTTAAGCACTTAAGCACTACTCACACTCTTCACAACACAATAGAACAGCACAATATATTAATTAAAATAATATTTAGTATAGAAATTGTGAATGTAGACTATGTAAACGTAAATATAAATAACTTTGATACTATAGTGTTATTATCTGCAATGTCGTATTGTGAACTTGAATATAAACTTTGATACAGTGTTACCTGAACTGTGGTAATGCAAACATGTAAATTTGAATGACTTTGATACCTACACTTTGGTAAACATATAAATATAGTAACATGTATAAGTAACTTTGATGAAGTGTTAAAGATTTCCTGTACATCAATCAATCGGCATCCGTCTGTCTCGAGAGACAATGGAGTATCTGCGCCCGGGTCAGTCTGAATTGCAGTGCCTGCTGTGGCTAAACAGTCCAATACGAGAGCGGCAGAGTCTGTTGCAGTTACTACAGGTGAAGCCTGAGAATGCTTCTGTGGGCACTGACTCGGCTCTCTGCCATCTTCGCTGCCTTTTCTCCTCCCACTGGTCCTCTCTCTTTCCCTCGCTCAGCTTTGTGCTGGTCCTTACGGCGAGCCGCTAGCCGACACAAGCTTCCAAGTCTGCAGGATTCAGGCTTCCGGCTTTCAGGTCACGCTTGCAGACATCTTTGTACCGGAGCACTGGTCTGCCTGTTGGTCTGGTGCCGGAGGCGAGCTCGCCATACATGATGTCCTTAGGAATCCGGCCATCCTGCATTCGGCAGACATGGCCGAGCCAGCGTAGGCGTCTTTGTGAAAGGAGTGCGTGCATGCTGAATGTTTTTGCCTGGGCCAGCACTTCAGTGTTTGGGACACGGTCCTGCCAGGTGATGCCCAGGATCCTCCTCAGGCAGCGCAGATGGAAAGAGTTAAGTCTGCATTCTTGCCAGGTGTACATAGTCCACGTCTCGCTGCCGTAGAGAAGAGTGCTGAGGACACTGGTCTGGTACACTTTCATCTTGGTGTTGGTGGTGAGCATGCTATTGTTCCACACTCTCTTGGTCAGGCGGGCCAACGCTATTGATGCCTTGCCAATTCTGGTGTTCAGCTCGTTGTCCAAAGAGAGGTTGCTGGAGATGGTGGAGCCAAGATATGTAAAGTCCTCCACTACCTCGAGGGTGTGATTGCCGATGGAGATGCAGGGAGTGCTGCCGACATCCTGGCCCATGACATTTGTTTTCTTTAGGGTGATGGTCAGCCCAAACTCATCAGAAGTGCGAGCAAAGCTGCTGATGAGACGCTGTAGTGCTTCCTCGGTATGGGCAGTCAGGGCGGCGGCATCAGCAAACAGCATTTCCCTAATCATGACCCTGCGCACCTTGGTCTTTGCGCGCAGACGTGCAAGGTTGAAAAGGTTGCCATCGCTCCTAGTGCGAATGAAGACACCATCTTCTGACTGACTGAAGGCGTGGCGCAGCAGCAGGGAGAAGAAGATGCCGAAGAGTGTCGGGGCGAGGACACAACCTTGCTTCACGCGCTTCGGATCAGGAAAGGTTCTGAAGATAAGCCATCGTACTGGACGGTACCTTTCATTTAATCGTGAAAGGACGTGGTCATCTTCAGAAGCTTGGGGGGACATCCGATCTTGTGCAGTAGGGTGAAGAGGCCTTTCCTGCTGACCAAGTAGAAGGCCTTGGTCAGGTCGATAAAGGCGATGTAGAGTGGCTGTCTCTGCTTCCGGCACTTCTCCTGTAGCTGTCTCAGTGAGAAGATCATGTCGATCGTTGATCTCTGGGATCTGAAGCCACACTGCGCCTCTGGGTAAACGCGTTCAGCCAGCACTCGGAGTCTGTTCAGCACCACGCGGGCGAAGACCTTCCCCACCATGCTCAACAAGGAGATGCCGCGGTAGTTGTTACAGTCACTACGGTCTCCTTTGTTCTTGTAAAGCGTGATGATGTTGGCGTCTCGCATGTCCTGAGGAACTGTTCCCTCCTCCCAACACTGAAGTAAGAGTTCATGAAGGTGGTCGAGGAGGACACTCTTCTTGCCAGCCTTGATGACCTCTGGGGGAATGCTGTCACTGCCTGGAGCTTTGCCACATGCTAAAGAGTCAGTGGCCTTGCTGAGCTCGTCTACAGTGGGCAGAGCATCAAGTTCCTCCATCTCGGGCAAGGGGGGGGTGCTCTCCACTGCAGTGTCAGTGACGACGTTCTCCCTCGAGTATAGCTGCTGGTAGTGCTCTGCCCATCTCTGCATCTGCTTACCGCGGTCCGTGATGACGTCGCCTGTAGCGGACTTCAGGGAAGCGATCTTGATGGTGCTTGGGCCAAATGCTTTCTTCATGCCCTCATACATGGCACGAATGTTCCCACAGTCTGCGGAGAGCTGAATGCTCTGACAGAGGTTCAGCCAATAATCATT